GCAGAGACCTGTGCCCCCATCTATTTTTGGATGATAAACATTTGTATCAGGTCAACTAAACATGGGCATAGTAACAATATTTTTTTTACTACATTTATCCATTTTAAATACACTAACCTCACTCCTTTGTAACAACTAAGGCAAAAATGTAATTAATTCAGAAAATCTTTTCGGGACCCCACTTTGGGTCCCGACCCCAACTTTGGGAAACACTGCTTTATTGATCCCAGAGGGAAATTTGGTAAAATGTTGGAAATTTCTGCTGTTAATCATAATTCTCTGTTCATCATTCTGGTTTAGCCAAAGATCCTGAAGGCCAAACCACAGGAGTTGTCTATCTGAGGGGCAGATGTAGTCTAAAAGACAAAACCATGAAATGTTTAAGATGTTTATAAAACGTTCAACCTTTAAACATTTGCACTTAGAATTTAAAATTTCTTTCATTTCATTTATCTTGAGGTTTAAGTTAAAATTTCAGGTCATAGAATCACTTTAAAATTACTTTTCATTAAGTAATATGTCTATGATTCTGGTTCAAATATAGAACTTTAATTTTGCTGGATTGTTAAATTATTTGTGAATCAACATTGCCTTAATAAACAATGATTTTAAAAAAGTGAACCATTAAAACGTTGATGTTAAATGTGATGTGTTTACAAATTTGGGTGCACCTAAGGTAAAATATTAGACGCACCGGTGCGACCACTGCTAAACGTTAGTCTCGAGTCCGGCTCTGGTTTTCCTACCTGGGAATTTGCGAGCGTTCCAGATGACGATGGTGTTGTCCACGCTGCAGGAGGCCAGCCACACGTCGTGAGGAGACCACGCCACGTCCATCACGTCTGCAGATGAAAGCAGAAACCTGTAAAAACCCCTGGCAGGAAAATGACTGAACAGTTTTTCAGCTCGTGGTACCTCCAGTGTGGTTCCTCAGGATGGTGACACACCTCCACTGCTCCACGTTGGCCAGCTTGTTGCTCGACCCGAACACGGTGCTGGGACCGATCAACCTGCAGAGACACATCCAGAAGGATGAAAACCGTTTGCTTCGGTTGCAGACCTGGTATGGTTCGGTCTGGACTGTGTGTGTTTACGTACGCAGCTCTCTTCCACACCATGACCAGCTTGTCGTCGCCTCCTGACGCCAGATAAAGACCATTGTTGGACCAGCGCACGCAGTTCACACAGGCTGCAGAAACAACCACTTCAGGTTTAAAACTCAAGAAAGAAAACTTTACGAGCGGCATTTTGTCTGTTTTATTGATCCGTTGCAACAAAGAATTACTTTTCCTGAACATTTCCTCCACATCTTAATCTAAAAACTCATTATCATGTTCTCAAAACATACGACACATACGCATCAGTAGCAGTTGTTATATCTGAGGCTGTTGCACCATAATAATAAAGAAAAGAAAAAAACAAACATCCAGATGATTACAGGCAGTTCGCTCGGGGCTGGTTACCTAGGTGATTGTCCATCTGGCAGAGCATTTTGGGGACATTTTCATTCTTTTCATCATCTTCTCTGAGAACTGGAGCCATGTTCCAGATCATCACCTTCCCAGAATCCTCCCCTAAAAAAAACAAAAAAACAAAACATCATTAAAACTGTCTTTCTGTTCTACTCCACCAATCATCAGACATCTTAAAACTGTGTCTGTGAACAAACAAGCCCTACATTAAACATGCCTTCTGGATCTCACAGGTCTGTTACACAACAAACCACACAACGTAGGTCTGTTACACAACAAACCACACAACGTAAACAACAAGGAAGTCTTACCTTGGCCACCGGTCGCAAACTTCGTTCCATCTGGATGGATATCGATGGAAAATATAGGTTTGCCTGTGAAACACGAGACAAAAGTTCACATTTATTGAGTAGGGATGCACAACATATTGGTATTGATATCGGCCAATATTGGTCATTTTTTAGAATATCGTATCGGTCCGATATGTAAAACGGGGCCGATATTAACATCAGATATTGATTTCCCACTTTTTAGCTTTGTGTTTGTGTTTTGGGAGGGGAAATGGAACCAAACTGGAATCTATTTTTCGACTTCAGAAGCGAGCTTTAAGAATAATATTTTGTGTAAATCGTAGACATCCCTCTCAGTCACTGTTTGCTCAGGCAAATATTCTTAGTGTTTATCAAGTGAATCAACTTCAAATTGCTTTATTTGTTTATAGTTCTATAAAAAAGTTACTTCCCCAGCATTTTTGTAACATTTTTACTTTTAATAATGAATTTCATCAGTATTCAACTCGTAGAAATTGTCTTATTAGACCCCCTTGCTGTGGTACAACTCAAACACAGTTTGGTGTTTTATACAAGCGTCAAAGATATGGACCAGTCTTCCAGGATCTCTCATGGAAGTTTCCAAAGAGATTTTTAAGCGAAGAATCAGATTGTTATGCTGCGTTCACACCGAACGCGATTTCACCTTCAAAATCGCAGCCAACGCTTCAAGTTGGTCGCTTGTGCACTTTGAGGTCAGACACAGGTCAGCTCTMGAAGCGCTGCACGGCAACAGCCTCCCCGCCCCTCCCTCCTCTGTCGGGCTCTGTTTAATGTCAGACGAGGAAGTGGCTTTGCTTTATTTACAGAGAGCAAGAG